CTATGGTTTCAACCTTGTGCGTCGGTGTGACGTTGTGTGTGCAGCTACCCTCGACATGGAAATGACTTACCACAGCCGTGCTTCACATGGGTAAAGTTCTCCCGTCGAGGACCTACCAGTACACACCGGAGTGGAGTGACGAACCACCGGCACCCGACAAGGGCGTGCTTTGGGCGTGCTCCTGCGAAATTTTGGTTTGCAACCAACAATTTATTCTGATATTTTTGACCAATAAATAGCCACAATCCCAAAAGTCGCTGTAAACGACCTCAAGGAGGTCGTCCAGAGCAAAAGTCGATGGAAATGATTTTGATTGGCTACTTTTCCAAAAACGCTGACACAAAAGTCGCTCCGAACACGCCCTAAACGTGACTTGATACTGTATTACGACGGGGGGCTGGCTTGCAAACTGACCATCGAACACAATCCTACGACTAAAGTCTCCAGGTCTTACTTAATGTACACGAGCTCGCCCCTATACTTAAGCTAGAGCGACTTGAAATATGAAACAGGCAAGTATGGTGGCCGTATATACCCAGTATTGCAGCCTTGTGGAGGTAGGTAGTACTAATAACGTTTTACTTGATATACAATTCTTTCAGCCAGTCGGAAGTTGAATTATTTATTCACAGTGAATAATACTGGTACATAATATTAATACTACTGTAGTACACAACAATAACCCTCTAACGTTATGGACGAATATCCAGTCTTCGCAGACTTGATCTCTTTCTTGAGGCACATGTTCAAGACGTATTTTCTGTTCGTGGGGACCACCGAATTCGAAGTAAGCTTCACTCATTCCTTGACCAGGTAGATATTCTATTGAAATCCTTAAAGAACTGCAAATATCTCTCTTTAATTCCCCTCATTTTGACTACTGTAGCTACTACACCAGCCATTAGTCATCGCTTCAAACTTCGTACTATGTACAATACATAAGACTCGTTCATCCAATATACACGAGTACGAAGTCCCAGACTCGATCTACCTCTCTCTCTCTCACAATGAGTGTTGTTTTCCAACCTTATTATTCATCTCGTTAACCTTTTCCTAGGGTTCTGGGATCGCCGTGTACTCGCGTCGGCGCATCACTTTGGCTCGCAATGGCGCGACGAGCAGCAGCAGCACCCCCGCGAGCACCGCGCCGCCGCCGCCTACCCATAGCCAGCTCATGCCCTTCTTCTTGGGGATCGAATGCAGCTGCTGCACCAATGCCTGGGTATGGTGGAGCTTAAACATTGTGTTGGGGGCTGGCGGGTTGCCATTGGCTTCAAATTGTACGGTAGCCGACACCACCTTATTGCTTTGTACCACCACCGCCCCATACATCACATGATGTGAACCCGGAAATAAACTCGACAAGGACGATTTCAACTTGTCCACCAGCGCATGCTCTATGTAATCGTCATTAGAGAGATATCCCATATATATATAATATATATAAGTCAAGGACGTGGGTAGGTAGGTATACCTATACAGTAATCCTACTAGTATACATATATATATATATATATCAGCCTCTCAAATTACCATATACTAGTACCAGACACAAACGCGTTCAAACTCGTGTAGGTAGGTAGGTACTGTGCACTGTATATATATATACACTAGCCATGGCCAAACTGTTGTCTATTAACTAATCCTACTAGTATATATATTATATATATCAGCCTCTCAATTTACGCATATATATATATATACATCAGCCTCTCAATCACCACATATATAATATATATATATATATATATACCAGACGCAACCGCGTTCAAACCCGTGTACTCTGCTGTAAACGCGACCACCGCCGACGTGAGCTTGGGGGACGGCGGCGGATCGACCTGAACCAACGCCGACGCCACGTCCGGATCGCCCACCAGCCGCCGCGCCCGCCATTTGGTGCCTGGGACAGACCATACATGCACGCCATGGACGTGCAACGCGGCGTGGTCGCCTACCGTGTGGCTATATCCAGAATCAGAATCAGAGAATAAGAGAATCAGAATCAGATATCGTACCCGTCGTCGTGAGTGGGATCAGCCCAAGATGGCCACCATTGGTTTTTAGCGTGGTAGAATTGCGTGTGCGGGTACGGAGCCGACGCGTTCCAGGGCGGGGACTTCGAGTGTTCAAACGAGTAGTGAGGCAGCGTACTCACGCCGCCGACGCCCATCTGCACCACCACAAACATGTCTTGGTGCATACTATATAGTACTACTAGTTAGTATAACCATTCCCAAACACCATGGGAAAACCACTGCATCGATATATATATATATATATATATATAGAACATCATATATATATATATAGAACATCATATATATATATATAGAACATCATATATATATATATATATATAGACCATCAAACATATATTAGACCACCAAACATATATATATATATATAAACCATCAAACATATAAATATTCCACCAAACAAATATGTAGACCACCAAACACATATATAGACCACCAAACATATATATATAAACCACCAAACATAGATACAAAAATACAGACCACTAAACACATGTACAAGATATATCGACCGCCACCAAACATATATATAATATATCACACCAATCACATATGATTGACTTTCAACAAGAATCAATACTCTTGTGTACCTGGGGGGTGTCGGGCGGTGCCACACAACTTGGGCAGGGGAGTCAATATATACCAGAGTATCCGTGGCATTCCAAATCACGCCGTATATATGCGTTGATCTGGGACTAATGTCATGATACGCAATATCACAGGCTGTAGAGTTGGTGCAAAACCCTGTCGCAACCACCGTCTGCGATGACGTTTTCTCCGTCTTGGCGACGGCAATATCGAGCCAGCCTTGGTCACGTGTCAATGGCACAAGGCGCAGTCGGGGGATCAAGTAGGCGGCGCCGTGGGGCATCGTCGCACTGATCTGAACATGGCCATACTGAAATGCAAACGATTCGGCTGTTCGAAACGACGCGGAATGGATCGGCGGCGCCATATCGGCGGCAGAGCTCACGTGCCCGCAGCCGGACGCCGCCGCCGCCGTGCATTTGCTCGGCACGTCCGTGCCCCACATGTCCATGTACCCCTCAAACAGCGACGCGTTGCCGACAATATCGGCACTTAGCGCCGGACGCAGGACCAGCGTCTTGTTGCGAACAAATCCGACTTGGCGGTGGTTTACATACATTTGAAACTCGCCGCCAGTGTTCATCGTGATCTCGGGCTTCCAGTGTCGCATATCCAGTGTCGCAAAGCTGTCGGAAAAGAGCAGCTTATCCCCGTCGACTTCTCTCGCCTGGCCAAATGACCCGTGATAAGTCCAGCTACTGGCGGCCGACGTGGCCCATACTGACACTTGATCGATTTCAAACCAAGATGCATCAGGTTTCGTACTCCACGTTGGTCCCCACTCTGGCAATGCCTTGTCAAATGCTACACAAGAACGGATGAATACATCATATATATATATCACATTGAGCCAATATTTAGATATATATATATATATAGGCGAACAGACGATTCAATACTTTGAAGTTACACCCATAGGATATTCGACCAATCAAAACTGAGCATTCATATGGCCAATCAAAAGCCACTTCTCTCCCACCATTCCACATATCGAATTCATAGACGATATGAATTCTTCTGCGTCACATGCGTTTCCATCCAATATTCATATATATATATATAAATATAAATAATATATATATATATATATATAGACAAAACCCATCGATCCATCGATCAATCAATACATGGATGGTTCGCGACTATAATCACACAAATGTCCACAGTTTAGTGGTAGTAAAAAGGAGACTATATATAAACATATACCCTTGGACTCATCCAAAGCCATATCCACATAAATATATATATATATATATAGATCCCATCTCGTATTGAATCGTACTTTCTTTATGGCGGCTCGACGAATCATTCCACGGTTTCCCATCCACATGATCTGGAAAGAAGCCGTCTGTGCCGCCCACGCGAAGCCCCACACTCAGGTAAAAATGCTGATCGAACGGCGCCTGGAGTCGCTGCTGGCGGTACGGCGACGTGTCGTTCGCAGGTCCCCACTGCGACTGCCACAGCGACGAAGTGCCGTACCCGTGGACGCGGCTTACAATGTTCTCCCGCGAGTCCACGTACATGTACAGCTCATGTTCGTCCCAGTATAGTCCATACAGGTGAAATCCGTCATCCGAGTCGTTGGTTTGGTTGTTCATCCGGTTAAATCGCGTGAGTTGCGGCGCCGATCCCGTCGACATGTTGAAAGGACCGTAATGCACGCGGCTTTCCACGGCTTGGCCATCCTCTCGACCTAAATATCTTGGTTATACATGGAAATACATGGCCTATTATACATCTATCCACACACAAACCCATCCAAACCACACACAGTTTTATCTATCCATATATATAATAGATATTGTAATCGTTCAGTTTTATCCATCCGTATATATCATAGATATTGTAATCGTTCAGTTTTATCTATCGATATATATAATAGATATTGTAATCGTTGAGTTGTATCTATCCATATATATAATAGATATTGTAATCGTTCAGTTTTATCTATCCATATATATAATAGATATTGTCAAGATATTTGATTCGAAATTGGAACGTGTGCTATTGACAATCGAATAAAAGCAAAATCACCAAATAATCGATAGGCAATCGATATATATATCGACCAATCAAAACCCACCACACGAATCCAGTAGCCAATCAAATTATCCACTCTTGGACCCTTTCAACATTAAAGTGTGTGAATGAGCCACTGACTGGACGAACATTTTTACATACAAACGTCAGTACAAACAATCGATATATATATAGATTAGAATCAACGCCCAAAACGACCCCCTTTTCATTGGATATATAAAAAACAACACTGTAATTCAAGTATACCTTCAAATAGGACAACCTCGCCGCTTTGAGGCCACTCGCCGTAGCTATCGTACTTGGGCAAAAGTCGAAACACTGGGCGGAGCCATTTGCCCGTGGGTACTTTCGCGCGTACTTCAACACGTCCATATCGAAAGCTAAAGCTCTTCTCGGTGCGGAGCGTAGCCGATCTAATAGGCGGCAAAATATTGGCCCCAGTGCCTGTCTGGAGGCATCCGTGGTTAAAATTCGACGTGCACAGTGTCGCAGGCGACGTGCCCCACAAATCGACCGTGCTATTATCGAGAAAGCCAACCACGGGCGCACTCAGCGTCGGCGCTAGCACGAGATGGCCATTGGCCACAAACGAATTGGCTTGGTCTGCCGTTGACATGTGCATAAACGAAGTGCGGTGACCTGTCATGGTGATCTCATGCTGCCATTTGGCCAGATCCAACGTGTCAAATGAGTCGGAAAACACCAAGCGCTCCGTAGGCAAAGTACATGGCGTGGTGCCAGCAAAGCAGGCTGATGACGTGGCAAAGCACGAGGCCGTCGACCGGTCGAAACATGTGGCCACAGTGTTTGCATAGGGACATGTCGTCGAGCAGTCAATCGTGGTCGTCGCGGTCGTTGTGTCTATTACAATGTACATTATATATATATATATATATATATATATGTACTAGAATGAATGGAAATCATATAATAGAATCGAAAACATTTCAACACTAATCGAGGACAATATTGAGAATTATAGATATGTACGAGAATGAAAATACTATAAATGTAGGAGAACATTCAAATACGACGACGACTACAAACTACTACAGTACTAGTACTAGTACTACTACTTTTGCACCATACAGTACTACTACTAGTACTAGTACTACTACATACTCCTGCACCCTACAGGGATACGTATACAAAAATACATATGCATAGCATTCATCGAATGCTCAAGAATCTCTCGTAACGTTGATGAGGTATCGATACATTCCACCATTCAATCTTTTTAGCCAATCCTATTGCAACCTGTATTCTTTTCCGCCAATCACATTCGTTTGTGAATCATAATGTTTCACCTACCCACCACCCCCCATCAAGACAAAATTGGCCCATTTGAGGAAACCACCGAATAATAATCATATACAACCAGTCCAATATTCAATTCTTTCAAAAAATCTCACTTCACCTGAATACATGCAATATATATATATATATATATATATATACAGCTAAATTCAACGCTCCCTATGCCAAGTCGAGTTACCGTCATATCGATGCACAGCGTTCTTCGAGTTGGTGAATGTCGTGAGTCCGCGGATACCCCACACTTTGACGCTGTCGACTTGCATGGCGGAGAAGTCGCTGGCTCGGCCCGAGTTTGTCCCATCTTGGTTGGTCGTCCACGACGGAAACCACTTATCTTTTTGATGGTAAAAGTTGGCCGCTGGGTACGAATCGTTCGTGTGCCAAGGTTTGTCCCCTTGGTCGTCTGGGAAGTACCCTGAATCGAGGAACCCCTTGGCGATGGACGTGCCGCCCACGGCCACATTCATGATTAAGTACATTTCCTGATCAAATGGCGCGTTGATTGGCCCTTCCTGGAAGTTGTTGAACGAGTCTACGTATATATATATATATGTTAAAATGAAATCGATTATTCGAAACTGGAGAATCGATGAAAAGAACAACCGCCAGAGCCAATCAAATCACGTCATGGAGAATATATTCTGCCAATCCAAACGTTTGACGTACCTCAAATTGGGCAAAACCATATATATATATGTACACGAATCATTGTAAAACATAGTGTGAAATACAAGATTCATAAATAGAGTTGAATCATCAAATCGAGTCGAACGCTACTGTATATGGCGATAGGACGGACTGTCCAGTCCAAATGAAATGGAGTGAAATGCACTATATATATATATATATATGCGACAACGTTCAGGGAGATACGTTTGTCCCCATAAACAACGTTTGTCCCAACACGAGGACATTTTTATATATATATATATATGCGACAACGTTCAGGGAGATACGTTTGTCCCCATAAAAAAACGTTTGTCCCAACACGAAGACATTTACATACCACTGGCGTTCCACGCGCCCGACTCGAGGCCAATGTCCCAAAATGATTTTTTCCCATATTCTGCGACCCGTGTGACAACGTTCTCGGGCGAGTCCACGTACGCATACATGTCATCTTCGTCCTAATAACGATATCGCATATGTCACAATGACTAGTCGAGTGGGACATACCCAGTAAAACCCAAACGTGTGAAACTCATCCCCATAGCTGCGGTGGTCGGGCAGCGCTTGCGTGTCGTTCACGGCCACGGGGTACCCGTCCTTGTTCCACGCTGGGCCAAAGTGAAAACACGCGGAAAACCGATTGTTCCCAATGGGGTTGCCCTTGTCGTCCGTGTAGTCGGGGCCATTCCCTATTCTACATTATACAAACGGATACATGGACGGACGGACGTACCTCGGGACTCCATGATGTCTAGCTCGCCCGACGATGGCCATGGCCCGTATCGGTTGTCTTTCGCCATCATCCAAATGCCAGGCCAAAGCCAATCGCCCCGTGGCAACTTTGTCCGCACTTCAACACGCCCGTATTTGAATGAAAAGCTCTCCATAGTTTGAATCCGCGCGCTTTGCACTGGCGGCAAAATGTCGTGGCCGTTCGCTTCCTTGCGACATCCTGCAAACTGAGGCGAACTGCACGAACTATACGGAGAAGTTCCTAGAATATAACATGACAAACCGTGCATGAGGGCGACGGGGTCCTAGCGAGAAATACTCTACCCCATAGATCCATCACTCCGTTCTCGATGGTTTCGCGACCGTATGCTTCGTCCGTCAACGTCGCACGAAGATGGAGCTTGCCGTCCTTCACGTACGAGTTGTTGCGGCTGTTTACATACACTTCAAACTCGCGGTTGCCGTTCCCACCCAACGTGATGTCGTGCTTCCACACGGACAAGTCGAAGGTCGAGTCAAAGTCCTCCTCGAAGATCAAGTACTCTTCCTTGACCGCTAGAGCTGTCACCATGGAAGTCACCGCGGCGGCGGCGGCGGCAACGACCCGCATGTTCTTATCAACCGTGGAAAGTCTCAAATGAACATGATGTTGAAGGGGATTTCCACAATGCTAACGATTGTAGCGACCATTTCGAAATCTTTCTCATATTATTCAACGCCAATACAAATCTCTATATATGCTATTGATTGTATAAAAATTTCGTGGCAAGGATTCTGTATATCTCTATTAAGTTCGATTTGCAAACACAAAAAAACTATTTTTGATATCTTTTTTGGGTATGTTGTAGTAGCGTTCTCGTCGACAAGAAGAATAGAAAACATTTTTTTAGCAGTCGTTTTAAGTACGACATATTGCGTCCTTTTTTTTTCGAACGACCCACTCGCTTCAACTTGACCAACCTCGCTTTGGATTGGCTAAAATAAAATCCGATTTCAACCAATCCGACGGAGTTTCTTATCCGGCCTGCCCCGATTTATCCGGTTGTTTCATTTGCTTCGACATGTTGCGCACGCCGGTAGCCCATGCCGAAATGAACGACGCCATTGCGTTCCTACAGCGCCAGATCGACGGCCTAAAGTCGAAGGAACCACAATGCATTGAAGAGCTAGATGCAGCCATAGACTCCCCCGACGTATCCATGGAGGATTTGCTTGTGTTCGACAAGGGCCAGTTCCCATTGACACGCGAGTTGTGGAACACCATTGGGCCAAAGGTACCACCAGCGCTTGTACAGGCATACCACGAGTACAAAGCACTACGACAATTGGTAAGCGCTCAATAAATATTGCTTCGTCATGCTCATACGACGCCCAGGCAGCGTCCTCGGCACCCCATGACAGAGTCGACCACGACTCGATGGTACCGTCGACGCCGACTGCATCCGTTAAAAACGACGAAGTCGATGGGGACAGTACGCCTATTCCCGCCGAGGTAGGATGCTTACATCCCACGACAGTGCCGCCGCATGAGTGTATTAGGTCTCGTCGACACCGTTGCCCGCTCCACCTCGGACGGTTGAAGAGGACGACACCGCGACAGTCGCGACCACGACCTCGCATCCACCACGCACTTCCACTCGCATTCGATCAAAGCAGCGTACGTCCATCGTCCTCTTTCCGTCGTTTCTCATGCGTTCATAGTAGTAGAACCGCCGCCGCCACCGCCATCGCCATCGCCGTCAACCCGCGCGACGTCCGTGGCCGAGAATCACGACGAAGAAGAAGACCCAGATAGCGAGTCCGACATGCACGCGCCCCTGGTGAACCTACGGAAACGACCTCCCCTCCAGGTATCGTTTACAATCTCGACAATCCTATATATATGTATATATGTATTAGTCTCTGAATTCGTAATATATATATACTTCTAATGATAGAGGTATGCATGTCGTATTTTGATTGGATGCTTCAAAATACATACGTATTTGATGCATCCACATCTCGAATATATATATATATTATTCTCTGAATGAGTAATATATATATATATATACATTAAACGATAGAGGTATGCGTGTCGTATTTTGATTCGATGCTTCAAAATACGTATTTGATGCATCCACATCACGAATATATATATATATTATTCTCTTTATGCGTAATAATATATATACATTAAACGATAGAGGTATGCGTGTCGTATTTTGATTGGATGCTTCAAAATACATACATCTTTGATGCCTCCACATCTCGAACATTTTGTTTGGTCGGTGGGTAGCAAGGGGTCAAGGATGAGACACATCGAATATAAAACTATATTTTGGATTGCTTTCGTCCCAGTATAAATAATATTCGATATTTCTTTCATTTTAGTGTGAATATTGATTGCACCGTGCTGTTTAATATATTGTGTATTGTGTTGTTGTGTAGGTGGACGATCGTGACAATGATGACACGCCAAACGATGACGACGGTGACGACAGCGGTGACGACGCCGACTCTGCGTCGTCCACCAAGCAGTCCAAGTCTAAACGTCAATTGGGTACCGTTTCTGCATCCTTTTGTTGCCCGTTGAGCCGATATGGGATTGGCTACTACATATATATATCCTTGTATTTTTTCCATTTTTGCACAAAAATATATATATATATATATTGTCCGTGTACCCAAACTTGGACGTTTGCGCTAAATCGATCGATGTTTTCCTCTTTGTATACGAACTATTGTATAAACAGACTTGTGCTGTGGTGATTGTATTCGTGCGAATATTTAGGAGTCTCACACTATATTCGATGTCGAGACTGGAGATTTCTCCTCTAAAATCTGATTGGCTCAATCGTCCTTATGCCGATGATTCTCATGTATTTGGTGTTGTGTCGAAGAGTGGATTTTGATTGGCCACTTGATTCATGTTCTGGATTGTGATTGGTCGATAGATCGCTTGTCTGTCGATTTGGATCTTCTGCTCGTTCGATTGAGCACTCCCATTTCGAATATAGCATTGTGCTTTCCAGCTATATTTGGTGTTTTCATTCGACGAAATCGTCATTTTACTTGAACTAACTATACTCACTGTGACTACTGTCCGATACAACGTTGAACTGTTTGTGAATGGAGAAGCTTGGCAAATGCACCGGATACGCCTGTCATTTGATTGGTCGAACGTTTTTTATTCGAAATTTTCATTGGCTACTTTGTTCCGTCGATTATTGTACTTTCGAGTGAAATTTCGTGTTGTGGTTTCTCGTTGGAATTTAAATCGATTTGATTGGCTACTTCAGATGAGCTCAAAATTATTAGCCAATCAAAACCTTCTCAATGAAATTCAACCAATCAGATCGATTGCGGATCGGTTTGGTCAGCGAGATTTGATTGCACCCAAATTTGTATCAAATCGACAATACTCTTGGACTACTTTTGTGTCGTTTCGCCAAATCTATCGATCGAATTTATTCTTTGTACTGACTTTTGTATGTAAAAAGGTGTCTTGGGGTGATTGACATTTCACGAAATAAAAATTCATGTACGAATTCGACGTAGATGATGGTTGTTTCCTGCATCTATTATCTGATTGGCTCAATTCTGCCGATGAGTCTTGTGTATATTTTTAATGTATGATATTCTCCATATCGCTCCAGTTTAGAATATAAACACACACTGCAATACCATATGACGATGGATGAGTAGGCAAACTCGGTCGTCCGCGCAAAGGGGCGCCGGCTCGGGGGTCGGCTGTCCGCGCGTCGGCTCGCCAGGTGTCCAAGCCATCCACGGATGACGACAATATCACATCCTCCCCATCGAAACCATCGGTAGCTGCCGCCAGTCGAAGCCGCAAAAAGAAGGCCGCCGCTGAACCAATCACGGTACTATTGTATGAGAAAGAAGAAGTCTTATATATGGACACAGCAGCAGGATGAAACGACTCCCACGAGACGCAAGTCGGCGCGACGGGCAGCCGCGTCGGCCGCCGCCGCCGCCGCCCCGCCCCCTCCGACAAAGACTGCGACCCAGCGCAAGAAGAAACACCATCACGACCACAGCGACGGATAGAAGAATAATCCGTAGATAATAAAGTATTACCCATCTATTTGTACCCAATTTATATATATATATATAATATCCTGGTCCAGGAGATCTATACCTACGTAACTTCAAGTCGGAGTAAATCAGGTTTTGGAGCTTACATTGTAAGGAGCTGACAGTTTTAAGGGTACAGCAAGATGGGGAATACGGTATTATGTACTAGTATGCTACGAGACATACAGTAGTACTACTAGGTACTAGTATGCAATAGGATGACGAGTCCAATTCCAGAGTCCACTGTTGATTACGTAATCATTTCACTTGTTCTCATCATACATATTGTTGTGTTTATTCTAAACTGGAGCGACATCGACAACTACCGTACGCTAGTCGGGTGATCCCAGCATAGACGGTTGATGCCTACACCAGGGCCCCATGCCCTGAATAACCTTTCTATAGTGTATACTCCGTATATATACTATTAATAGTATCAAAATCCACTGTCTATAACAGTTGGCAGATCGCACTGAACTTGTCAAAATCGAAATGTTCCAATTTTCGAGTTTTGTGCGTCCAAATTTCATATCATTACTACTGTACTAACGTTAACCTTAGTACTTGGAACACCCCCTTAAATAAGCCATTGGGAATCGAGTGTTTGGTGGCAAAAGAAGTGGGCCGTTTTGGTCCAACTCTTTTATGGAAGTTTTATCACTCGGAAATTGAATAATTTTTCCAAAATTCAGCTGGCATCCAGGCAACTTTGAAGATACTTTTTTATCCTCTACAGTATGATACTTTGGGATATTTTTGTAGCCTTGCCAGAAACGAAGTTATAATTTTATGCTGTCGCATCCCGGCCACCCCTTAACGTTTGTGTTTTCCACTTGTACATATCTCAAGAGCGGTTTAATCCAACTGAAATCCGATTTCTACTATTGTGCATTTCACCCAAATTTGGACTTGTGAGGCATTTCGCCAAATATGTAGCGTTCGAATCCATTGGATCCAATTCTTAAGCTTGTACTACATACACACTATAAAATACAATGTTTAGTATCTATATATTTATTTGCCCAATGCGGAGGGATGATTGGTAGAAAATCAACAGGTCGTGATTTGACTATTGTTGTTTCTTCCATTCTCATAAAAGTTGCTGTTAACGGTTTCGAATCGATTTGACGTACAACAAGAAGCACACCACAGCATTCAAATACACGATATGCATACATTGGCTAACTGTTAGTCATAATAACTACAATGCAGCGTTGGCATTGATGACAAAGATCGATTGGTTGGCCGAGCTGCCCGTGGTCGTGACATCGCCGTCGATCGTTTTGCTCTTGGATGAAGACATCGCCCACTTCCGTCGCAAATACATGACCGCGGCCAAGATCACTCCCAGACCAGCGGCAATTCCCGCGACCACGAAGATGGACTCCACCGTCGACGACGCATCCGACCCAGTCGAGGCTTCGCTCGATGCGCTGGCGGACGGGGTATGGGTGGGGGTGTAGCCTTCCTGCTTCATCTGAAACGACATCAACGTGTCCAGAGTTGAGAACTTGGCCAGCTCCGCAAACGTTACCCCTGTCTTATCGTAAAACACACAAACGGGAGCTTGGCTCAAGATGCGCTGGACGTCGGCAAACATGATTTGGCAGGCTGGCGAAGAAGCGAAATTCTGGAGCTGGGGCATGGTCGGGTAGGCGTTGGTGCGGCGGAGCATATCGTCCAATGCAAACCCAGACGCATTCGTGCAGGCCGAATACACTGGGAGCGATTGGATTGTGGACGTAACCGACGCGATCTGGCTCACATCGCATGGAACGATGGTTCGTTGCGGGGCGATGAGGGTACTTTGCGGCACCGCAATAGCAACGGACGACTTGTCTTGGGCGCGGCGGTACGCGGTGAGTTCCACGAGCGATGGAAAGCTAGCTTGTTTGGCTAGGGGTTCTCCAGGGTAGAAGTTGCAGTTTGGCGTGGTGTGGGCGATGATTTGAACCAAGTCAAAGTACACGACTGAGCAAGCTTCGGCCTTGGTGAATAAATCCACTTGGGCGTCCGTGACGGTCGCGCCTTTGGTCAAGACGTAGTCAATCAGTTTGAACCCGGGCGTCGTGGCATCGCACGCGTTGATGACGTTTTGAGGGAGTTCATTGAACGTCGCTTTGATGCTGTCAAGGGACACTTGGGTGCATGCTGCCAACGGGGTCGCTGGAACGGATGCAACGCTGGCAGTCGGAGATGCAGCCTTGTCCTGGTCTTTCGTCGGCGCGACGGTTTTACTCTGGGGTGTAGTCTTTTCCTGGTCTTTACGATAGGCCACGAGTTCCTTGAGCGACGGAAACCCGGCTTGTTTGGCGATGGGCTGACCTGGGTAAGATTCACACGATTCCGTGCGCCCGACAATCTGCGTTAAGTCGTAGTACACAACCTTGCAAGCTTCTGCCTTGGTAAACAGGTCAACTTGTGCGTCTGTGGGCACGGCACCGGCGCCTGTAAAGTAGTCGATGAGCTTAAACCCAGGAGTGGCGGCGTCGCACGCGGACGTGATCTGAGTGGGAAGCTCATCGTACGTGGCTTTGATGCCATCGAGGGTGGCTTTGGTACATGGCGGAAGAGCTGATGCTACCGCAGCTGTGGCACCCAGGAGTCCGAGCACAGATTTCATGGCAAGATGGAAAATGGAATGAGCAGTTCGCCAATTCCTTTCCACTGACGACTTTCCTTGCGTTTCAGTACATCGAGGTTTAAACGTCACGTTATATCGTATGAGGTGATGGCATACACGACGTTTTACCGCTATTTAGATTAAACGTAAGCAATAGGGGCTTGGTATATTACTAAAAACGGCTTTAATTGACAAACACGGCTTCGCCTCTTGGTTTTTGTATGCCAGCGAACCTGCTACGAAACCAACTGGTAAGTTGCCTCCATACAAACATCAAGTGCCTGTGAGGCATCGTATAAGCTGGACGTTAGAGCCATGGCCTTTGCATTGCACAGTTCCTTTCCACGAACGTTCCATTCGCCACACTGTCTTATCCAATACTACTTCAAGTACTAGTTCTATGTACTGTACTACTAGTATACTGGTACAGTACTTCAAAGTACTATACTAGTACTACTAGTATACTATTAATAGTTATTAATAGTACAGCTAACGTTAACGAAATCACCTTACAGTGTTTACGAGTATGTAGTTCAGGTAGTACTTTGATTTAACGTTATGTAGTTAAGATAGTAGTATGACACCAATGCCTCGTCTTGACTCTATCCCGTCAAGTCATGCCGTCCAAATTATGAAATATGATGCACATCCCCCAGGATACAATTAAAGAGGTTTATCCGGCTCAATGCCAAATACGGATAGCATTATCCGTATGAACTCAAGTGAAGTCACTTTTGGCATTTTAGTCCTCGACTAACAACGGTGAGCATTTCGTGTCGCGATGGGTCCATCACTTTGATATTAAAATGATTCTAGAATTACGTTTAATTAAAATAAATAGTTTTGAATGACATTTTTCACCAAATATACCGTTTCCCATGTGATCAAGATATACGACCGAAATGGCCTTCATCTTACTGTTATTATTAACGGTGGCACACGATCAAGATGGCTCGGACGGCCGTGTTGCTGGGGTCTGCGTCCTGCGGGTTGTGTGCTGGCCTGGTGTACCTCAATAAGCAGTTGGCTTGGATTGGCATATTTGGTCTGGTTAGTCTGCTTATCTGCGTTATAATTCACTATGTATGTCGTATTCCTCAAACATGAACGTCCTAGCTCTTCTTCGTCGTTCGGACATGCGTTGTGCCTGCATTGTCGACGCGATACGTGGCGTGGTACCGCTCCACGAACGACGGAGACGCCAAGCTCTTGTGGTGCAACACAGCAGTGTCGTTGGTGCACTCTGGCTTGTCCGCCGCGCTAAGTATCACCGTGCTGGCAATCGACCCCATTCAAGACTGGGTGCATTCGTGTTCGCCACTGGCCGTCATATGTCTCTCAGTGTCCACAGGGTACTTCATCTATGACTTTTACGACATGGTCGTGGGGGCTCTTTACGTCCGCGCCCATGGCATCCTTGTCCACCACATCATGGTCACAACCTGCTACGTCATGGCATTGCACTGCAAAGTAGCTGTGCCGTACCTTGTGGTGATGTTGCTGCTAGAGATCAACTCGATCTGGCTCCACTCTCGCAAACTCATGTCCATGGTTGGGTTCACTTTGGCGAATCGGGTGTATGCGATGACGTGGCACGCGCTGTGGCTTTCATTTTACACCACGCGTGTGCTTCTACCGTTCGCAGTGCACGTAGGCGTCACGTTGGACCGCCACCGGTTCCCCCATGTGGTACGACGGACGACCATCATTCGTATCGTGACACGAGTGTTTGTGTAGAGTCAGTTTGCAGTTGCCTTTGGCGGCACCGGTGTCCTCCACGTACTGAATTACCTGGTAACGTTATTGTCTTTTTATTACCTCAATTTTGGGACTTTTGTGCCAAATGTTCGCCAAAACTATATCGTTCGATTCGTTGGACGACTGACTTTTGTAAGAGTTGTGAATTCGCTATTTTAAACTCCTAAAATTCGTGTGGTTTGTGTAATATATTGTGTTCAATATTGAATCAAGCTGGATTTCTGATTGGTTGAATATACTTGTCCCTTGTGTAATAGCCAATCAAATCCTCTCAAAATTGGATTAGCCAATAGCGTCGCGATTCGTGATTCGATGAGATTCGATTCCGGAAATTTGTACCGAATCATCCACAATATCACACTGAAGTCACTAACTCGATATGGAATTGGTCGAAGAGTGGATTTGATTGGCTACTTGATTAGTTATCTGGGATTTGATTGGTCGATCAATTGTCTGCCAATTTGGTGCTACTCATAAATATATGTCAAGTCGCCATATTCGTAAACGATGGCTCACGCTTATGCGGTGTGTAGGTGTATGTGGGGTGCAGCAAAGCGTACAACAAGGAAAGACACTTGAAACACAAGTAAAGCTAATAGACGGGATTTTGCGATTGAACGAAACATATACACAGCTTCTTATGGCCTCTCGGCATTGACCCATCCATTCCGATATACTACGTAGTATATATATATATATATATATAGTTACATCACCATGTGTGACTGCAAAAAGTAGTATTGTGTTTTCGATGCGTGCCGTCGACCATTGAGGAGTACTCGTAATATGGGCTATTCTTTAGCATTATAATTGGACGAGATATCAACTAAGTGGCACATCAACATCTCAATTGGTATTTCACGCAACAACTTCACATGTCGTGTGACGACTCACACAACTAGAATAACTATACATTGTACTAGTACTGTACAGTAAGTGTAATCAAACAACTGGATATCGATTGATAGGATTTGCGTTGCATTCTTGCATTCGCATAACGAATAGGATGTTGAAGTTGGTCATAAGGAACTGGTTCGGCCGTTTCATCTCACATAAGAGGCAGAGTAATGTGTCATTGTAGTACACTTTTGCAATTCATTCCCATGTCTACATTAGACTGAACAATACACGAGGTAGTGCTGTTATATTTTCAAACCCCAATTACATGAGCTTCAAGTGTTTGGTGAGTTTATCGATGGCCCCAATGGACGCTGGTCCTACGGCCAAGACTGTCTTCGAGTCTGGGGCAATCTGCGTCCGTCCGGCATCCACGACGATATAATGCACGAGTCCGAGTTCCTTGGCGCGACGTGCCAACTCCAGCATCTCTTCCTCCGATTCGACCTTGAGCGCGACTTTGGCCTGCCCTAGCGTTTCCCAGCACTCGATCGCATGTGGCGTGCGCTTCACCGCCCGCTTGTACGCACCGAGGGTGGCGTGGCCGCACTGAGCGGCTACTTTGCCTTTGCCCATCTTCAAGTCGTTGCGAACCACCAGCACCATCTTGTGCGGTTCCCACTTGAGGACGTCCTCGTCAGCTCGAGCACCGTCGTCGCTGTCGTCACCGTTGCTGTCTTCCTCGGCATCTTCTTTCTCGTGACTCGTCTGTCTCTGCACTGGCTCGGCCTTTGCGTTAGATGGCTTCTCGGGCGACTTGCCAGGGGACAAGTACCAGTGGCTGGCTGCGCCAAGCGCAAACGCGGCGCCCCATTTCACAAGGTCGTCCATGTTGCTGATGCTGTGTTGATTGTGACCACTGCAAGTTGGATCGATGGATTCTGGCCAATAGGAGGGAAAGTTGAATTCATGTCTTTATTTCATTGGACGTATGAGATATGGCCAATCGAATATTGTTGAGTTTAGTCTAAACTGGAATGTACACAAGAATCGGCAGAAGGATTTAGCCAATCAGATTGCAGGAAACCACCATCAACGTCAAATTAGTGTGTGACATGAATTAGTGTGATACCAGGACACACTTTTTACATACAAAATTCAGAATCGATCATCGATCGATCGATGGATTTGGCGATTCAGCACAAAAGTCCAAATTTTGGGTAAAAGGACAATACTAACTTATAGTCTGGAATACTGTACGGTACAGCCGAGTACCAGGTACTTCGAAGTACTAGTACTTACTAGTAATAATACTATAATAGTATACTGAAATGGAGTCGAATACACAGTCAAAGTCGGGATTTATATTTTGCATGATGGGCGATGGAGGGTATGAAAGCGCAACCCGCAGCGATTGTCCTTTTTGTTGTTTCATTGGGAATGCTACTCACCATAACTTACTTCTTTGCTCCAGGTTAGATCGTTACACTAGTCACAATTGCAAACATACTGTAATCGTACCAGTATTGAATAGTAACTACCGGTAGTACTACGTAGTACTAGTATTCACAAGTGCACAGTCAGATGACGACACATGGAGTTTACAATCCTTGTACACGTGCTAGCGTTTTACATGAGCTTCAAGTGGCCCGTGAGGTTATCGATGGTGCCCGCCGGCGCAGGTCCAACCGCCAAGACGGTCTTCGAGTCTGGGGCAATTTGGGTACGCCCAGCGTCCACGACGATGTAGTGAACGAGTCCGAGCTCCTTTGCCCGACCAGCCAGCAACAACATCTCCTCCTCGGACTCAATCTTGAGCGCGACTTTGGTCTGACCCGAGTATTCCCAGAAATCGAGGGCTTGCGGCGTGCGCTTCAATGCTCGTTTGTACGCGCCGAGCGTGGCGTGGCCACACTGTGCGGCGATCTTGCCTTTGGTCATCTTCAAATCGTTTCGAACCACCAGCACCATCTTGTGCGGTTCACAGTCGTCGTCGCTTTCGTCCTCGTCGTCGCTGTCGTCGTGGGATTCGGGGTCGTTAGCCTGATCCGTCTCTGTATTATCGTCGCCAGCATGTGCAGGATCCTTCACACGCGACTCGCTTGCCAAGTACCAGTGGCTAGCGATGCCCAGCAAGAACGCACTCCCCCACTTGACCAAGTCCATGGTGGCGCGCAAGCAATATATGATTTCGATCGTTTTGGCCAATCAACGATACGAAACATTATGTCCAATCAAACGACAGCATTGGTGTTAAACGATCCGAACGGTCGTTTTACACAGGCTACGTATTGTGCTTTTCATCTAGTTTGCCCGTTGTTTAACTGCGTTAAACAACCAGATGTTTAAAATAATATAAGCCCGATTGAAGATAAAACAACGCTAAACACAAGTTCTGCATTTCAGCAGAATAAAACAACCCTTACTTTATTTCAGCTGCTAACTAATCGAGTTGCAGCACCAGGCCAACTTACGCCGTACAACCACCAGTTCATCACGATGCATACCGTATTAGAATGTGAAATGGGAGTACTATACATCGTGTAGTCGTAGTGCGCCCTTGCCTTCCACGTACAGTGCTAAGGTTAGAGCAGATCAAGAATTGTAGATATGGCATAGCTTTGAATCATTAGACAGAGCGACGACTACATGTACTGTAGCCTAACTATATCCCTAACGTTATATAATATTACTCGGAGTAGATAATGTTAGTACTGTAGTGATCACGGATGGGAGGTCATGTATATGGCCATAGCTGCTTCAGTTTCATTGCGTCAAGCACCTTGACATGTTGACGTAAAGCAAGTTGTTTGCTAGAATGAAAACGGCAAACAACTTGTTTTACGAAAGTGCCAGTAAAACCACCTTCAACCAACCAATCATCGCATTTGATGAAGTAACTTTAAACAACGCACCCAACCGTTATTCAAGTTACTTTAGACATTATTTAAGCCTGAGAAATTTTTAAACAATGAATTTAACCCTGGAATTGCCAAAAAAGGTGCAAAGCACAATAGTATTTACTAGTATAATTCTGTGCCACACTCTACTATTTTCAGCTTAACTTACAGTTAGTTATTACAGTTAACAATACTCTGGAGTACAAGTATTAATAAATGCTAACGTCACTCAAGTACTACTGTACCACTGGCAATATTGTAGGGAAATAGAGACCAAAAACACAATTTCCAGGTTGTAACTTTAAAGGAGTTATGGTATACTAGTATACCCTGCTATTAGGGAATGTTTTCAAAGTGTACGTCGGTATTACCCGCAGTGCGTGGAGGACTACAAGCCGTGATTAAAGCATGGCCACCACTGCCAAGGACATTGCAGAGATGGCCATCGAAGCTGACGCCGCGGCCAGGGAGGGCTGAAGCTTCCCAGTCGTGGTATCCAATGCGGTCAACGTTGTCACAGGAGTCGTTGGCTTCATTGTTGCGGCTGCACCCACGGGGGCTACAGACGATGATACTGTCGTCGTGATTTGGGCTAGCGTCACCACTGGTGGCGCGGCGGTGGTGGTGGCCGCTGTTGCGGACACGAGCTGGTCGACAGATATTCCGACGAGGTCGGCCACTTCGTCACAATTCGCTTGTTTGATTGCATCTTGGAACGAAGAATAGACGGTGGTACAAGCCGCGTTACCCTTGAATTTTGTCAAGTCGTTTGGCGTGGGGGTCGGGCCTTCCTGTGTCAGCGCCAGGAAGAAGTCAAATGGGGCCGTGGCCTGCTGACACGCTGGCCATTGCGGGCTCTTGGTAATGGCTTCGAGCATTTGCTGCTTCTGGTCTTGGGTACACCCCACAGCTGACACAAGGGGTGTCGCAATGGTGAAGATGGCAAACAAAGCGATCGAAAGATGCATGTTACTGAGAATGCGGATAGTGTGTACCAGGCAAATGTGACAATGAGCAAGCTACATTATTCAACCCCTTCGATCCAACTTGTTATGCATACAGAAAGGAGCGTCCCAGTCTCTTGATGTCCAGGTTGTTGGTTCTCCTGACAGTCCAACTCTGACTTGACAGGTCGAACCATGGACAGGCTGTCCAACTGAGTTATATTCTAACGTTACGACGCTACCGGTATGCTTGTGATTACGACTAACTACATATAGGCGATCCCTGGGTATCTTGGCCCAGTCGACGACATATGTTCTGGCCAATTTGACTTGACAAACCAGGAAAAACATGAAAGGTCACTTTCCGGATATTTTCCGTACTTTACATTTTTACCATGGACGCGGCTCGAATTCGGGTCGGGTCACGGCGGCAGACCTCCCGAGGTGGCAAGCGGTACTGCATGCAATTGGGAGGATTGTTGCTCGGACCAATGCTGCACATGTAATGCAGGTTGAGTTCGCTTCTGGCTCAGAATGGCAAGATATTCAAGCGGTCGGTACTCACACCAGAGATGGTGATGGAGGAAGAAAAGATGGCAGCTCGCATGATCCAGCGCATGGTTCGCGCCCGAGTGGCCCGCAATTGCTTTCGACGTGTGCTCACCGAAGTGTACACAAAGATTTATGGTACGCCCGCCCAGCCAATATGTTACCATCGAGTTTGACCAAATATGGGGACAGACAAAACGACCAAACAAGTGCGATACGTGGACAACCGAACGGGCGTGGCCACTGAAACGAAGCCACTGCTGCTGCTGTTAATGAAATGTGAGGGTCAAGAACAGATCGAGCCACTGCGGCCAGACGATGCCGCCGTACGATCAACGCCAAATATCTCACGAACCACCCATGACTCATTACTGCCTTGACATACTAACACTACTTCAACTCACTATCACTGCCTTAAATAACCCCTCTCAAACTCGTCGTTAGATTCGAATCCAGCATTGTGTTCGATCATGGCGAGCTCGACTTTTGCTCCGTGAGATGGTTCGCGACTTGTATCAAAAGCACATGGGTACCAAAGTCAATCAATAATATACTGTATACATCGTCCATGGCAATGTCGTCATGTGGTAGTTCCGAATCGACCATCAAATATTAATATATATATATATAGATCCAAAGACGATGGAGTATTATTACCTCAACACCCAAACCAAACAAGTGTTTTACTCAAAACCCGTGTTTCTCGGTGACACGGACATTGAATTGGAGCGGTATGTAGTGGCGACATATATATAATATATACAACATATATATAGGAATTGTAATAATATTATCCTCCTGCGATCAGGTTCAAGTATCGCCATGCTGCGTGTCGGCTGTCCACCAAGGCTAACCTGATTGGCAACGGGGTTCTGGTGCTGTTTAATCGGGTGCATTGCATTCTCACCGACAACTTTACGCTGCCAGACGAAGAGACTGCGCGGTTTTCACGTGTACAATTCAACCATTGTCAGGGTACGAAATATATCTTAAGGGCCAATCTCTGGCTACCACAAAACATGTCAGAAAACCCCATTTTTCGGTCATATCATGACAATTTTCTATCGACAACTTGTGTGTGTTTGGTTACCAAACCTGAAATCAATATATTGGCACACTATACGTCGAATGTTAAGGGCTGGTCTGGATGCCACCCCATAAATTTATGCCATAACCCGTATTGACAGGACTGCAAAAAATTCCTAAAGTCTCATATCCCATGAAAACAGTCTACAAAGTTGTCTGGATGCCAGTTGAATTATGTAAACATTATGCAAAACCTCCATAAAACACCCGATTCTCAAGAAAATTGTGGCAGAAAGTTTGAACATTGGTGGCATCCAGACGCACAAAATTTAGAAAAATGGAATATTTCGATATTTTTGGCAACTTTTCTTGGAAAAACGGCCATTTTATGTCCTTTTTTGTGGCATCTAGAGACCCGCCCTAACTGTTTTCTGACAGGAAAACACATATTTCAACTGCAACGATCCAATTTTTGACCTACTTTAGGCTATTCCACCAATCCTTCTCACTCCATCCTGGCATCCCATCAAACTTTTTTGTAATTATTTTCTAACCTCCCATCATTTGAAAACGGGAATTCTCTGTCAGAATATTATTGGCCATTAAAATTTTCTGTAGCATCCAGACCCGTTCATCTAATAATACTTCACCCGATAGGTTCGATTCCGTTTATGATTCGGTTGCGAAGCGACCTGTTCTTCATGACGTCCACGTATACGTCGTACCAGCTGGTAGCAGACCCAACGCTGGATTTTTCGTTGTGTGCCATCGACGCCGACGAGTTTCACATCGCCGCGGGCGATTCAGTAATACTGCTATCTTGTCCAAAATAAATAAAATTTAGATAAACTATATATATGTCTAGGTGGAACCGATCAAGATTGCGTTTAACAACAGACGCATGTGTTGTGCGGACGACGTGGTAGGTCCTCGGTTCAGCACCTGCCTTCCAACTTGACTTGTGTGTATGTAGCTCCGACACGAAGAAATCGAAATGGTTGGCCATCCGCATGGGAAAATGGCCGTGGTCGGGCGAGGCCATGTCGACAAGTTCATCCCAAACATGGTATTGTGCTTTTCACCCATATTTGGACTGGTGAATCATTTCTCGCCAAATAGCATTCCAAGCCATTTGATTCCATTTTAGCTTGTACAAACTATACCATACAAATATTAGTATATATTCGATTTTGCCCAAAGCAGACGCACTAGGCTGAATCAAACGTTTGGATTGGCAGAAACTCAACAGAACGCGATTTGATTGGCTTAGACGGTTCTTTCATCCTAGAGACATTCGCTTATTCTACAATAGGAAATCGCTGGTCATGTCCTTCTGAGTTCATTATTTTTCCTCATGGATTGTTAGGTCAAGCCAAAGCGATTGCAGTACCGAAATCCAATGGAATCGGGGGCATCCGGTAGCCCTGTGTTTAATTTCGGCGGTCGGTTGCTGGGCATTCATCACCACAGGTCGTTGCGCGAACCAGCTTTTGACTGCACCTTCCTCAAGTATAGTACACATATTGAAATTTTTGAAGTGGTTTGAAATTACAACTTTTCACAGGCCCATCGTCGATTTTACAAGGGAACAAATCAGTACGTATCGATCATATATATATATATATAGCGCATAATATTAACGATTCGTAGCTCCCCCCGTACCGTTACTGCAGTCTGCATGCCTTACCCACGACATGGTGAATGTGTATTGGCAAGTTCCTCCGCAATACAAGCCCTGGAACGGACTCAAGCTCGAATTCGTGCTTGAAATGTGCAATCGGTAACTCCATCTAAATAAGATAAAGTCAAATGATCGTTCATATATTTATTTAGGACTCGCCGAGGCACCCAAGGATATTACGACCGCTTCGAAACTATTTATACGGGCCCAAAGGCCACGTACACCGTTCGTTTCCATTCACTTTGTTCCAAATTCTAAAATGTACAGTATAAAGTAATAATATAATTATACAACTAGGTCCACAACCTCAAACCAGCGACGAAATATGCATTTCGATGTCGCAGCGCGCACTTTATGGACAAGAGTGGATGGGGTGCAGTGATGCAGGTCACCACGTTACCTGGTACAATATATATATATATATATATATATATATTTACAATGCGTTTTGTAGCTGCGACTGTGGCGTGGGAATTAAAATATTGTACATCCATAGCCGATGCTATTGCGTACATGGTGAAATCGAATGACGCATTGGTCCATCGTCAGAGTATTTTATGGGTCAAAGAGCGCATCAACAACACCCGCCTAAGTACCCCCGAAGGTACGACTACTAATACAATGATAGTCTATATTTGGAACAACTAAAGTACATGACATGTAGACGAGGTCGACCCTGCGATACTAGGTACTAACTACACTGTAGTTCTTGGATTCATTTTATTAATATGGGTACTACCTTGGAATGATTCAGAATGGACCAACATGGAGCCGCAGTACATTGCATGCAACGCCAGTGCGGCCATTCGCGAGTCGGTCGATAAATTCCACCACGTGGATGACCACGTTCTCGACTGCTTGGATGTGTTGGGGCAATGCTGCCAGTATAAAACTGAATTCCGGGACCGAATGGTGCGTTCCTTTGCCTGGAAAAGTTGGTCAAATGTTGCACATTCCTACGGTCAGGTGACGATTCCGACGTTTGAGTGGATTGCGCACCTTTTCCCGCACTTTTCGTCCGTCGCAGCCGTACTCGAGAAGGCGGTGGGATTGCTCGGACATTTAGTTAAAGATAACGGTCCGTACAGTATCCCAACGACAATTATATATGGCAACGTCATAATATAGTGGGATTTTTTGTCTTGAATTAGAAGCTGGCAAAGAGATTTTTATGACTATTCAAGGCATTCCTATGGTCCTCGAGGTCATCGAAGCCAACATCCACGCAGAAGGCGTCGTGCGCGAAGCATGTTATCTCTTGGCGGCGCTCTGTCAGAACTTTCGTCAGTCAATTTGATGCTATTCAAGCAATAATGTTTTTACATATATATATATATATAAATACATATAAATATACATATATAAATTCATCAATATATTTAAAAAAATACGTAGGGCCTGCCCAACAGCATATGGGTGTGAATCTCGGGATCAAAGTCATGTCGAAAGTGTTGACTACGTTCCCATACCACCCGCAAGTGCTGTATTGGGCTTGTTTAACACTGGGCAACGTCGCATGTGATTACGGTGCGTCCACGATGAATATATATCGTTAAACTCACAAATTCATAATAATATATTTATTTCGGACACAAAGAGCCCAACCAAGCGCGCGGTCAAAAGTATCACATTGTCGAGTGTTTGGTGCAATCCAAGATCACGTTCATCTTGAAACTGAATGCATTGGAAGACGCAATTGACAAGGAAACCAAACTGATGGAAACGATGGCGGCCACGGCCATTGGCGAAGAAGTCCGGAACGAGATGGATTTGCACGAACATCGTCGACGCAGTACCGATATAGATATCGTATCCGAAAACTAAATACACTATACATGTCTCTTATAGGTTTGATGGACATTTACAACTTTATGCAAAGCGAAAACGTTTTGGGCGTGGCCAACTACGCGCTGGAATACATGATGAACGCAACCCAAAAAGACGTGCAAGCACGAACCAAGCAAATGGTTTGTCCATCCGAATTTAAGAATAATGGTGTCCTACAGATTGAACCATATCCTAACATTTCGTCATGGTGGCGAATATAGTCGTAATACTAGTACTTGTTGAGACTTTAGAATATTTTTTTAGTCATATGTGAGTCTGGATATCAAAACCAAGGCCAACATCTTCGAATTTTTGGCAATTCCTAAAAAAGTGAAAAATGACCTGACTGGATCCAATACTTGGGGATTCAATATTTTGCCAAATCTTGCGTTGTTGGCCAAACATTAAAAATGAGGTTCAAGGGACTTTTTTTCTGAAAGTTGGCAAAAACTGAGAATGTAGATTTTCTTTCGAAATGAGTGTAATCCAGACAGTCAAAAATACGTGACAACCAAATTCTTTACAGTTAAACCAAAAATATTCGAAATATTAATTGGGCAAATATCGGGGTGTGATCCAGACCCACCGTATTCATACATACCAAAGTATTATAGTTTAAAAAAATAGAAGATCAGGAGTTCAAACTAACGATTTCTGCAGGCGACACGGATCGTTGTGATTCGACTGGGGGCCGCCATGGCCCACTGGCGACGACAAGCCGACAAAGTGCTGCAAGGACACATCCTCCGCCGCTTTATCAACGGCGTGATGGAGCAGACGCTGTACGCGGCCTTCCGGACATGGGAAATGAGCATGCGGGAGCTGCGCGTGGAGCAGTCAACGCTCGCGTATCGAACCAAACAGGGCTTGATCTTGGACTTGCGCAAGTCTAAACGCCAAGACCGGTACCGGTTGCTAGTCAACAGCAAGTAAAGACTATACTAACCAAAATATTATTAAAGAGAATATTGTTTATATAAAATTACAAAAATGATTATAAATATATACATATATTAATAAATATATTTAAATAATAATAATCTCAAATTGAAAAAGCCATTATATTAGTAAAAACTATAAAAGCTAAATATTTTGGATTTTTTAAATTATACCTAATATTTGGATTTATTTTTATACAAACAGAATCGCCACCACCAGAAGAGTACTGCAAAATACGAGATGTTTCTAGAGGAATACTATTAGTACACTTGATCATACACACACAAGCTCCCTGTGACTACCTCGGGTGTCTACTGCGCTATCAACAAATTGGGCAGGTTTAGACACGATATCGCAAGAAAGAACGGTGTTGGGTCGTTTGATGAAGGTTCTGTACAAAGCAGTTGCTCTTTTTGCTGTGGGGGTTCTCAAGGCTCAAAATCTGATGGACTTGCATACGAGAATCGATAGATGATTCTACATAAACAACGATATATTCTGGGAGTACATGTCAAATTATTCCAATGCATTACAGTAGGTTGCGGGCCTGGATGCCATGAAAAATGGCATAAAATCGATATTTTCCAAGAAAAGTTGAGACAATTGAAATATTCCATTTTTCGAGATTTTTTGTGCGTCTGAATACCACCAAAATGGTCCCACCATTTTCTTGCGAAATGGTTTATAGAGGTTTGTTGTTAAGTCTTGCACTTGTCAATCGGAAATCGAATAATTTTTCCAATATTCAGCTGGCATCCAGACAACTCTCCAGATACTTCTTTTCTACTTTTTTTCATGGGATATGAAGCTTTGGGAAATTTTCGCAGACTTGCCAAAACGGATTAATGGTATGGCATAAATTTAGAAGATCCAGACGAGCCCTAAAGATGAAATTTCAAATTTACGAACCAAATTACCTGTTCACAACACAATTTCTGGCATTTGGTTACATTCCGGGTTTGCTACATATACCAGTCATTTCTCTTTCCGTCGTCCATCTCAATGTGATTTATTATATTGTCCTTTTAACCCAAATTAGGACTTTTGTGCTGATTCGCCAAATCTATCGATCGATTCTTTGTACTTCGAAGTAATACTGGCTTTTGTTTGTCAAAATCGTCCAGTGTCACACAAATTTAAGTCACACACTAATTCGATGGGGAATTGGTCGAATGGTGGATTTTGATTGGCTACTTGATTCATGCTCTGTGTTTTGATTGGTCGATAGATTGTCTGCCGATTTAGTTTTGCTAATTCGATTGAGCACAATCCCACTCCAATTTCGAATCGACTTACGTCAATAGACAGATTTCGGAACACGTTCCCATCGCATTTGCCTCAATTTATCTCCTTAAAATTTATCCAGTTTACGGAAACTGTCAAATTTTATGTGGATCGGACCCCTTCTCTAGTATGCCGATCATTGGTCTTAAATCGTGAATTTCAACCAGTCGTGCATAATGCACAGTTCTTGACCTTCCCATCCATGCTACAGCGCCGCCAGATCTGGCCTCGTGTCCAGCCTCTTTCACGCTCTAAGGTGGGTAATACCAAGAGTTAGCTGTAAGGTGGAGCGATTACGTGCATCTTATCTTGTCTGAGTCATTCAGCTTTCCTGAACCTTCTCCAGCAGTCGGCGTAAACGCCTTGGGTCGATATCCTGCCCACACTCCTACGATTTGAATTCGGGGTTTCGCCTCTAGGCTGCTAACGCTAGGTGCATGAAGCGTACACAACTTCGCAATTTGCATCCGCATGTGCACTGAAGTAGACGTACAGTACTAGTAGTCGCATTGCAGTTAAACCATACTTACAGTTAACACTCGGTTTGCGAGTGGAATAAATTCGTAAATGGCAATTATGTATTTGATACTATTAATAGTAATACGTAACGGTTTTCAATTCGACAGTTTGGCTTTCAAACGAAAATAGAATGCTTTTGGTAGTTAACAAAATGTAAACAGGTGTTTACATTTTGTAAATTGACACGAGCGATGCACTTTCGTGGCTAGTTTTGACTCTATTTGAACGTAGTTTCATTTAACAATTTAACAATCTAGGAGCGTAATCTCAACGTTGCGCTCTGTTATACGAGCCAAAGCGATATGAAATTCAAGGAGGTTTAGGTTGGGATTTTTTAGGTTGACGAAACCGACGAAACTTCATTCGAGGTGTGATTTCACGTGAACCAACACGAAGTTCAAGAATCTGATTACATATTCATTGAAAACTTGGTGAGAGGTCTATGGATAAAAATTTTGGAAGGATTTGGACAAAGTTTAGGTAGGTTTTTTTAGGTCTATGTATTAAATTTTCAATTTACAAAATGTAAACTGGGCTGTTTACATTTCGAAATAATTTTATATCCATTTTAAATTAAGACTTGTCCAACTTTTCATTCGAAATTATATTACGTTTTGCGATTTTGCCCTGGCGAAACCGGATTTCGCGATTTTTCCCTCAGCCTCCTGTAAATACAAATTTATACTCTGGGGTATTGTTGTGCAGCCAGCCGGTTTTGGGATGAGTATACAGTAGTACTAATTATCGACTGGATAATACGAATTATACTTCGTAGTATTAACTTCTGTTATGATCGTTTTTACCATGGACTAATCACAATCGAGCCTGTTCCAAGTTGTTTTCAAAATGGGCATTATCCAATCAAAACGCTCCCCAACTCATTCCAAAGTCCTCGTTTCAAAATGGGGTCGTTTCATCCCATTTTCGACAACCCATCGCCGCGCCGAACTACTGGCTGAAATTATCGCCCTCACCACCCCCGCGTGCACAAACTTCGAAGTATAATGCTAAATCCCCTAGTATGGTCAGAGTACAAAACATATGCCTAGAGTTTATTAGTTTGAACGATTTTCAGTCTTGGCTGAACGGTATTCAGATTTGTTGAATGTTTTTCAGGGGAAGTCCCCATTATTCGCGATTTTCGAATTCTACTTGGAACAGGCTCTAAAGTGACATGAAACAGGTTGTCGTCATGACGAGTTTTGATTCGACCGCATAGTTTATCCATTGCTTTGGACGTTGACGTTGGGTTTGGAAGTCCCAACGTCAACGTGGAGAATATATACGGCCAAAACAAAGCTGGCATAGAAATCTCAAGATGAAAAATTGACCACCAAAACGACGAAGGCCAGGATGTGAAGCTGGTCAGCAATGCTACCAATGAAGCCAACGAAGCCCGGGTGAATAAAGTTGCGATATGTGCATTTTGTATCTTTCACACACGGACTACAACCATGCATGTGGGCTTGGTGCTTATCTTGGCCGTGAAGTCGGCTGCACAGCAGCTAACAGAGGCACAGCTGGACGCCCAAGCCAAAGACATAGTAGACAAGATGGTACGGCAACGCACTTCTCTCTGCTAGCGACTGACCAGTGACCACGTTAGACGGTGGATCAAATTCTGGGGCAAATGACCCAAATCGACCTGAGCGCAGCCAACACGTTGGAGAAAGTCAGCGAGTTTGCACAGCTGAATGTCGGGTCGTACTTCAACTTTATCGGCATGGGGCGAAAGGGCAACCGCGTGACGGCCAACACGGACGAATGGCGGGCGAAACTCACAGATATGCAAACGATTCACATGAAGCGGAATAAGATTCCGATGATTTTCGGCATCGATTCCGTCCACGGCGCCACGTACGTCGACGGGTCGGTGCTGTTTCCGCAGAGCATCAACACAGCCGCCACATTCAACCCGGTGCTGGCCCAAGGCCTGGGCAAGTACATGGCGAGGGACACCAAGGCGGCGGGCATTCCGTGGATATTCGGGCCCACTCTGGACGTGACACGTCACAAGCACTGGCCTCGCGTGTACGAGACCTTTGGGGAAGACCCGACGGTGGTGGCCGACATGGGCGCAGTCGTGATCGAGCACATCCAACAGGAAGGGATCGCCGCCTGCTTCAAGCACTTCATCTCGTACTCCGATCCGACTTCGGGCCTCGACCAAGACAACTCGGAGCTGAGCTCGTACGAAATCCTCAACTACTTCATGCCGCCATTCAAAGCCGCCGTGGAGGCAGACGTGTGGAGTGGCATGGGGACGTTCATTGCTTTGAACAAAGTGCCCCTGGCCGCAAACGAGTTGATGCACAGGGGGCTGCTCCGGGGGGACTTGGGCTTCAAAGGACTCATGGTCACAGACTACAATGAGATCAATTTGCTCCAATCCCGGCACCGCGTTGTGAAAACGACGTTGGAGGCCGTGGAGCTGTCTATGAATACCACCTCATACGACATCAGCATGGTGCCGAGCGATGACAGCTTCATACGAAGCGGCAAGCTCCTGGTGGCTCAAAATCGGCTGCCCGAGGCGCGGCTACGCGAGTCAGCCTTTCAGATCATGAAACTCAAGTTGAAATTGAACTTGTTCGATGTACCCGTGCCTGGCGCGGACGTGGTGAGCCAACTGGGGGACGAAGCCAGCCAGCTCGCTGCGCTAGGGATTGCCCAAGAGTCGATGGTTCTTCTCAAGAACCAAGACAACGTGCTGCCCTTGACCCCTGAAAAGGCGGCGTCCATCTTCCTCACTGGTTCGAGCGCGGATTCCATTGGGTTGATGTGCGGTGGCTGGTCGCTTTGGTGGCAAGGAACGTACATGAGTGATGTGTTTCGTCTGGGGGCATCCGTGCGAAAGGCGATGGAAACGACGCTTGGCGGCCCGATATCGTATTACCACGGCTTTGACACGGACGGTCTGCTTGTAAACAACGACGGCAAGGCGGGGGATTTGGAAACTGCGAAGGCACTGGCCGCCAAAGCTGAGTACACGGTAGTCGTGCTGGGAGAACGAGCGTATGCAGAATTCAAGGGCAACGATGACAAGCAGCCCCTCCCACCCGGCTTTCTCACGTATGTCCAGGCACTCAAGTCCACCGGCACAAAGGTCATCCTCGTGCTGGTGGAAGGACGCCCTCGACTGCTCAACGGTATGGCGGAGCTCGCCCACGCCATCATCTTCGCAGGTCTGCCGTGTGAATTCGGAGGCCAAGCCATCGTGGACGTCTTGCTGGGCAAGGTCAATCCCAGTGGGAAGATGGCTATGACGTACCCCAAGACGGAAACCTCCATCAACCTGGCCACGCCGTATTACAAGCGCACCACCTCTTATTGCGTGAAAGATGGGGCCACGTTCGACTGTCCTGCAGAATGGCAGTTTGGCGACGGTTTGAGCTACACGAGTTTCACCTACTCGAATGTCTCGATCAGCACAACCAGTTTAACGTACAGCGCCACTGAATCCAACGGCTACACGATCTCCGTCACCGTTCAGAATACGGGGTTGATCCATGGGCAAGAAACTGTGCTCCTGTTTGGAACGCCTCCAGCCACCCGCGTGAATGCTGAAACCAAGTTGCTCAAGCGATACACCAAGTTGTCGTTGGCCGCAGGCGAAGCGAAAGTAGTTACGTTTTCCTTGTCCCATCAAGACTTGGGCTACTACAGCAACGACATTGGCCACGGGCTCAAGAAGGATGCTCCCAGTGGCATCTATACATTCTTTATCAAACATGACACGGACTGCACGGCAACTTCGAACCCATTGTGCATGGCCCTCCACTGGGACAACCCAACCCAAGCATCGTTCAATCCCACCTCGACTTCGAATGCCGTCGCCTCTGTCGACAATCCCGCGGCTACTTCGACCTCCGTTAGCCCCATCTCTATGAATCTCATCGTGGGCCTAGCCACCGGCGTTGGATGCGCGCTCGTGTTGATGGGCATCGCGTACATGGTGTGCCAGAAAAAGCAGCAACGCCGACGAGGCGGCCGACGGCGCGCCAATATATTTGACGATGACGTTGTCGTGGTGATGGAAAGCAAGGAGCAGAGGAAGAAGGACGCTGTGCTTGTGGGGGGTCCCAAATGATCCATCGCGTAATATCAGCATATTGTAACTAGGTAGAGGATATGTAGATCGTAAGAATCGACGACCATGTCATGGTGAGGTTAGGTAGGTCCATTGTGGCTTCATATAAGGACTCTTTTCTCCCAGCACCTCGTACCAATCGATTGAACATGGATTTCAACATTCTTCCTCATCTTGTCAGATACAGTAGCATTGTTAGACAGATTTCGGAAACACTCCCGTGAACTTCCCACGCGTGAAATTGATGACGGTGAAGATCTGGCTGCACGAGTCCAACGGCGGGTGCATCGCCAGGTGTATGTGCAACACTAGCACCACGTACATTTCAGTTGGAGCAGGTTTGCACAACCCGCAAATCACGAAACACACACCAATGCCCCGTTGGTCGGGATCGCCCCGTTATGAACGTGTAGACGTCGTCGTGTGGCAGTACGTCCACACGACGAAATCGGCCGATATCATTCGTCCTTAAATCGACCAACGGAGCCCTGCGATTGGCTCACGTATGCGTGTAAGTAGCGGTGGCCACACAAGGGGTCGGATCGTGCCAGATGGGCACGTCCATACAAACACCGAGTATAAAACCACGATCCTCTCCACACTGTCCGTGTACAGTACAGTCAACTCGTCGACGCGGACGACTCAAAAATAAAAAGATCATGTCACGACGATATCTCAGGTCGACTTCTTTGATTGGCCTAAAATAAACCAATTAAACCTATACAGAAGTTCAAGGGTAAGCGTAAGCGTTCGACGCGATAGCGCAGCGGTGGGTCACGCATATACCCCAGGAGGTCGTCCTTGAAAGGGAACAATGACTTCCGCCATGATCTTTATATTTTTGAGTCGTCCGCGTCGATGAGTTGTACCACTCTACATACAAAGTCCCATATTGAAGGTAGTGCTACAGTGGGTGGCAGAAGTCTTGAAAATTTCGATACTTAAAGCAAGTGAATTTTGTCTTGAAATTTCAGAAAATATTGTGAGCATAGTGTGCCAAGGTAGTTTTTTTAGGCGAATTCAATGGATTCATTAGTAGGTGTTTAACGTTTGATTCCACGTAACAACAGGATAAAAACAGGATGTAACAGGAGTCAGAACCCTTTAACGCTGCTTCAAAGTATACACACTTCAAGATTAAATATGCGTTAAATAGGTTATTCATGGGTGAGGCTTCGGAGAAGGCTCCTATCTCGGTAGGAATACAATTCTACAGTTAACATCAATTGAAGATGTCCTTCATAATGCACTTGGCAGCAATATTGCCATTGGAAGTTATCGGTCTAATCACGCTAAGTATGAACTAGGGCGGTTCAAAGTTACAATTTGTAACTTTTGCTTTCTACACAAACAATTACTTGGTT